TTGAGGACTAAACATGCTGAGGAAAAAATCAGAGAGCTTAAAGAAATAGCTGTGGAAAGTTCTAAATGTGAGATGCAACAAGAAAATAATAATATAAATATGTAACAGAATATTCTAGAACTGTGGTACAATTACATAGTTATAAATACACTTAATGCTGAGAAACTAGATGCTTTCTTGCTGAGATCAGGAACAAGGCAAGATGCCCCATCTGGTGATTTCAATTCAACATTATACTGGAAGTCCTCACCAATGCAATAAGACAGGAAAAGATATACAGATTGGAAATGAAGAAATAAAATTTTGTTCACAAATAAAATCATAGTCTCTGCAGAAATTCACAAGTAATTAACAACAATTTTTTTTAAAAAAACCTGTAATTTACAAGTGATTACAGCGAAGTCACAGGATACAAGGTTAATGTACAAAAGTCAATTGCTTTTTTTATATACTAGTAATACATCAGGGGAATTTCAAATTAAAAACACAAAATAGCACTTACATTACCAACAAAAAAAGAAAAACTTAGATAGAAATAAAACAAAATATTTATAAGATCTATATGGGGAAAACTGCAACACTCTAATGGAAGAAATCAAAGAACTAAATAAATGGAGAGATGTTCATGAATAGAAAGACTCAATATTGTCAAGCTGTCAGTTCTTCCTCAATTATTTTATAGAATCAAGGCAATCCAATCAAAATCCCATCAATATCCCACGGTATGCATAAACTTTCTAACTTTTAAAGGTAACACAGGATTGGGGAAGAGCCAGTCAGCTGTAGACTCTGCATAAAGAGATTGTAATCAAGACAAGGCGGTGTTGGTGAGAGACAGACATCAGTGGGACAGGATAGAGGGCCCGGAGAGACCCACGCCAATCAGTCAGTTGATTCTGACCACAAAGCAAAAGCAACTCATGAAGAAAGAAGAGTCTGTTCAGCAAACACTGCTGAAATAACAAGAGGAAAAGTGAGTCCAGACACAGACCTTCTACCTTTTCCACAAATTAACTCAAAATGATCATTGAGCTCAGTGAATACACAGACATATAAAACTCCTAGAAGATAACATGGTAGGAGATCTAGGAGATCTTGGGTTTAGTGATGACTTTTTAGATGTAACACCAAAAACAGAATCAAAGAGAGAGGGAAACAGGTAAGTTGGAGTTAAAACTAAAAAGTCTGCTCTGTGAAAGGCACTGTTTAGAAAATAAGACAACTAGCCACTGACTGGACCAAAATATTTTCAGGGTTTGATAAAGGATTAGAACCCAAAATCTTAAAGAGGAATCCCTAAAACTCACTAACAAGAAAATGAACAATATAATTTTTAGGAATTGGTCAATGATCCGAAGAGACCTGCAGTGAAGGAGAAAAACAGATGGCCAACAAGAATGACAAGATGCTCCCCACCACCTGTCGCCAAGGAAATGCAAATTAAAACCAGCAGAGGCCAGCACACACCTGTTCCACCGGCTAAAATCCAAACACTGACAGCGCCAGCTGCTGGTGAGGAGGAAGCGGCAGGAGCTGCCAGTCGCTGCTGGGGTGCGCGGGTGCAGTGCGGTGGAAGACTGCATTTTACGCACACACACCCCAAAGTGCACTCCTGTCCTCTGACCCAGCGTTGCACTCTTTAGTACTTGCCCAAATGAACTGAAAACTTATGTCCACACAAAAATGGCTCATGCATGTCAGAGCAGCTTTGCTCATAATTGGTAAGACTCAGAAGCAGCCAGGATGCCCCTCGGCAGGTGATGGAGAGAGGGCGGTCCCTTCAGACAGTGGGAGAGTAGTCAGCTCTGAAATCAAACGAACTATTGAGCCACGAGAAGACAGGGCAGAGCCTTAACTGCACGGGACTAGTGGCAGAAGCCCGTGGGGAACGGCTACGTGCTTCACCGTGTGATTCCAGCTCTGACGTGGAGAAGACAAAACTGAGACAGCGCGCCATGGTCCGAGTGAGTGGCAGCGCCGGCCGTCGCTTTAACCTCGTCCTCCTGCGAGTGTGGACAGGGCAGCGGGAGCCGCTCCCACTCCGCCCGGGCGCGTCCTGCCAGAGGAAGACGCTGTGCGGAGCCACCGGGGCCTCTGAGGGCCGGGCCTCTGGCCGGGCGAGGCTACCCAACGGAACACCGAGGCCCACAGGCTGGCGCAGCTCTGGTTAAGTCCAGGCCGCCTCCAGGGGCCCGGGGCTCGGCAGGCTGCGGCTGCACCTGGAGGGGCGCGGCTCCCGGCGGTGCTGGCCCGGCCGCGGGCGCCTCTCCTGGCAGAAGGCGCTGGGCCCCTCTGGACCGGAAGGTGCTCCCCGCAGGGACGGCCTGTGCGCGCTGCAGGCTGGGCTCCACCTGAGCCAGGTCGCCGCCTGCGGAGCCCCTGCCACCGGCCCCGGAGGACGCTCTGAGATCGCTTCCAGAACCCGGGGGGGGGGCTGCTGACACCCCTCCCGGCACAGTGTCCGCGGGCAAAGCCCCAAAGCGGCTTCCCCTCCGACACCAGCTCCGCGCAGGGAGGGCCCGCCGTCTGAGGAGCGCAGGGCGCCTGCAGGGCACGTGGGGACTGGCCTCCCGGGGGACAAGCCCGCCCGCCGCAGCGGCCAGCAGACGCCCGGGACAGCGCCCCCTCCCCGCAGGGATGCGCTCCTCCCGGGAGGCCGGGGGAACCCCCCCCCCCCCCATGCCGGCACCGTGGCCAGAGGAGCGGGCGGGCCTGAGGGAGCACACGGCGCCCGGGGTCCGCTGCGCCCCAGCCGCTCGCCTGGAGCCAGACCTCGGCGGGAATGCTGTTCCCACCGGGCAGACAGGAGAGACACTTAAGGGACAGACAGACAGACAGGGAGGCAGATGCCAGGCAGAGGGCGGCATTCAGGGCGCGGTGCTGAGCGATGCGGGAGCGCCAACCGCGCGGACAAAGGCGATGGGCCCGGCCGACGAGCGGGTGTGAAATTGTTTCCCAACAGCGGCACTCCCGGCGCCCCCGCCTCCCGCCCTGCGGGCCGCACAGACCCCGCCCCAAACCCGCCGGGAAGCCCGCCGGCCCGCTCCGCACGGCCCTCGCGGCTTCCGGGGAGCGGGGAGCACGGTGCTAGCCCTACACGGTCCGCCGGCTGCTCCCCGGCCCGAGGCGGGGGTGAGGGTGGGGGTGGGGGTGGGGTGCAGGAGGGGTGGGGGTAGGGGTGGAAATGGGGGTGGGGTGGAAGTGGCGTGGGGTGGAGGTGGGGGTGGTGGTGGAGGTGGAGGTGGAGGTGGAGGTGGAGGTGGGGGTGGGGGTGGGGGTGGGGGGGGTGGGGGTGGAGGTGGGTGGGGGTGGGGGTGGGGGTGGGGGTGGAGGTGGGGGTGGAGGTGGGGATGGGGGTGGAGGTGGAGGTGGGTGGGGGTGGGGGTGGAGGTGGGGGTGGGGGTGAGGGTGGAGGTGGAGGTGGGTGGGGGTGGAGGTGGGTGGGGGTGGGGGTGGAGGTGGAGGTGGGGGTGGGGGTGGAGGTGGGTGGGGGTGGGGGTGGAGGTGGGGGTGGAGGTGGAGGTGGGGGTGGTGGTGGGGGTGGAGGTGGAGGTGGGGGTGGAGGTGCAGGTGGAGGTGGGGGTGGGGGTGGGGGTGGGGTGCAGGAGGGGTGGGGGTGGAGGTGGGGGTGGAGGTGGGGGTGGGGGTGGTGGTGGGATGGGGGTGGAGGTGGGGGTGGAGGTGGGGGTGGGGGTGGTGGTGGGGGTGGAAGTGGAGGTGGGGGTGGAGGTGGAGGTGGGGGTGGGGGTGGAGTTGGGGGTGGAGGTGCGGGTGGAGGTGGAGTTGGGGGTGGAGGTGCGGGTGGAGGTGGGGGTGGAGATGGGGGTGGGGGTGGAGGTGGAGGTGGAGGTGGAGGTGGGGTGGGGGTGGAGGGGGAGGGGGAGGTGGGAGTGGGGGTGGTGGTGGGGGTGGAGGTGGAGGTGGAGGTGGGGTGGGGTGGAGGTGGGGGTGGGGGTGGTGGTGGGGGTGGAGGTGGAGGTGGAGGTGGGGTGGGGGTGGAGGGGGAGGGGGAGGTGGGGTGGGGGTGGAGGGGGAGGGGGAGGTGGGAGTGGGGGTGGTGGTTGGGGTGGAGGTGGGGGTGGGGGTGGGGGTGGAGATGGGGGTGGGGGTGGAGGTGGAGGTGGAGGTGGGAGGGGGAGGTGGGAGTGGGGGTGGTGGTGGGGGTGGAGGTGGAGGTGGGGGTGGAGGTGGAGGTGGGGGTGGAGGTGGAGGTGGGGGGGGTGGTGGTGAGGGTGGGGGTGGTGGAGGTGGGGGTGGAGGTTGGGGTGGGGGTGGAGGTAGGGGTGGGGGTGGAGGTGGGGGTGGAGGTGGAGTTGGGGGTGGGGGTGGGGGTGGAGGTGGAGTTGGGGGTGGGGGTGGGGGTGGGGGTGGGGGTGGAGGTGGAGGTGGGGGTGGAGGTGGGGGTGGAGGTGGAGGTGGGGGTGGAGGTGGTGGTGGAGGTGGGGGTGGGGGTGGAGGTGGAGGTGGGGGTGGAGTTGGGGGTGGAGGTGGGGGTGGGGGTGGAGGTGGGGGTGGGGGTGGAGATGGGGGTGGAGGTGGAGTTGGGGGTGGAGGTGGGGGTGGAGGTTGGGGTGGGGGTGGAGGTGGGGGTGGGGTGGAGGTGGGGGTGGAGGTTGGGGTGGGGGTGGAGGTGGGGGTGGGGTGGAGGTGGGGGTGGAGGTGGGGGTGGGGGTGGAGGTGGGTGGGGGTCCCTCCCAGCCCCTCTCCCGCCCTCTCCTCCAGGACTTGGCCACAGCTGCACATCCCTCACCTGCTCCGCTGCTGGCGGGAGCCGGGGGCGGGGCCGGGGAGGGACGGGAGCTGGGGGCGGGCCGGGGGCGGGGCCGGGGAGGGACGGGAGCTGGGGGCGGGCCGGGGCGGGAGCTGGGGGCGGGGCGGGGCGGGAGCTGGGGGCGGGGCGGGAGCCGGGGGGCGGGGCCGGGGGAGGGGCGGCGGCTGCGCTGGCAGGGTGCGAGGTCCGGGAGCCCGGGCTGCGCCCATGTGGACCTGGCGGAGGCGAGATGAGGGCGCTGGCGCTGCTGCCGCCCGCGCTGCTGACCTGCTGTGGCTGGCTGCTCGCCCCGGTGAGTGCGGCCCCGACCGACCGCCGCCCCGGCCCCCCCGGCCGCGCCCCCCCGGGTCCGGGCAGCAGGACCCGGCGCCGCGAGGAGCAGGACAGGGCCGGTGGGAAGCGGCGGTCGCCTCCTCCCTGCCGCCCTCCGGGACTAGCGGACCGGACCGGACCGGCGCCCAGTGGGCCCAGCGGGAGGGTCAGGGGACGGAGTCTGGTGCTGCCGTTCGGTGTCAGGGGACGCGATGGGCCCAGGAAATCCCCTGTGGAAACTCCGGGTCTGTCTGCTACAGAAGAGGGGGAGGTCTGTCACCTCTGCCCCCCTGCCCTTCGGCCTGTCAGAGCCTCGGGAGCTGCCATTGCCGGGCATTTCGGGTTTAGGGGTGCACTTACCCCCCTCCCCCAATACTCAGTGTTGGCTGGAGCTGGTCAACAGTAAAAGCAGAATTTTGTTCAGACAGGGAGAGGGGCCCAGCCCCAGCCTGGGGGGGGGGGGGGTGCTCCGCACTGAGGACCCTGCGGGTCCTCCTCTGTTTGCACCAGGCCGCTGGGTGGGGAGCACAGCCCAGGCACAGGCGCCCTAGAACTGTGCCCGAAACCCTTAATTATCGGGGTGCGGAGGACGGAGACCAGGTGCTCCGTGGCACACCGCTCCCTGGATGCTCCGATAAGTGGCACCCCGATAAATGTAATAAAAAGGGGGAGCTAGTTGGTTAAAAGTACCCAGAATTAAGGCTAATGTTGCTTTAACTTCTAAGATGCCCCCGAATGCGTGCGTATTCCAAGAATGTCATTATGTATTTTAATGCCTTAACAAACATTTGTTTTTCTTTTTTAAGCCAATTGAATGCCTCTAATCCTGACATTTAACCCCCCGCTGCTCACCCAGGAAAGCGGGCGGGAAGAGGCTGCCCCGGAGGCTGGCACGGGATTGGGCAAACAGTCTCGTTTTAACAGAGTCGGACGCGCTGAAAGCAGCAGCGCTCGGTTTCCAGGCCCTTCTCCTGGCGAGAAGCTTAACCGGCTCCTTCCGATGGCGTTGTCAGCGGGAGGACATGGAACAGGCGGCTAGAACGTGCCCAGGCGCATGACTTTCTTCAGTAAAAGCAGAATTCTGTTCAGACGCGGGAGGGGTGCCCAGCCAGCCTGCACTGAGCGCTGGGGCCGCGCTGGGGCCGGGGAGATGGAGCCCCCGCCTCTGCTCGCAGAGCGATGAGGCCAGGACAGGGGCCTGTGCTGTGTGTCTTGCCGGGAACAGCTCCGGAAGGTCTTGTTTAGAGGCAGGGCTATGACTGCCCACATTCCCTCTTCCCGCCACCCGCCCATCTTCTTAGAAAAGCTCTTCACCCCAAATCCTCAGATGGGGTTCCTACCGTGACCTGCAGCCCGGCGGACAGGCCATCCCAGTGGGCTCCGTGTGGATGGGAGGCTGCTGGATTCTGGGCGGCTCCTTGGCTGGTCTCACCAGTGAACACGGACTCTGTCATTAAATCAGGGCGATGACACAGAGGACTCGAATGTTGAAAGTTATAGGGTTATGGCCAAAACCGGTTTGGCTCAGTGGATAGTCTGCGGACTGAAAGGTCCCAGGTTCGATTCTGGCCAAGGGCATGTACCTTGGTTGCGGGCACATCCCCAGTGGGGGGTGTGCAAGAGGCAGCTGATCGATGATTCCTTCTCATTGATGTTTCTAACTCTCTATCCCTTCCTCTCAGTAAAAAATCAATAAAATATATATATTTTTTTAAAAGAGTTATTGGGGCCGAAACCGGTTTGGCTCAGTGGTAGAGCGTCGGTCTGCGGACTGAAAGGTCCCAGGTTCGATTCTGGCCAAGGGCATGTACGTTGGTTGCGGGCACATCCCCAGTGGGGCGTGTGTAAGAGGCAGCTGGTTGATGTTTCTCTCTCATTGACGTTTCTGGCTCTCTCTCTCTCCCTTCCTCTCTGTAAAATATCAATAAAATATTTTTAAATAAATAAATAATAAAAATAAAAGTTATTGGGTTAAAGAGCTCTATTGCTGCCAAATTGTACTCTAGCAACATGCCAACATGCCATGTACTCTGTGAGTTTGCTTTCCTGTTCAGAAGACATGCTGGTGGGTTTTATATCGCTTTTATGATTCCTTCACAAAGGAAACCATCAGCTTTTAAGCTAATCCTGCCAGAAACATGAAGGTGCTCGCTTTCAATGACCATTTGTTTGGAAGCAGAGTAAAACTCTTCAGTTTTGGGGTTTTGTGGAACATTTGCTTGAGTGTCTGCGTAGGGAAGAATTTTTACTCGTTTCTGCTTTTTTAAACACTGACCAGGTGAGCAGCGTTCACCCCGAGTGCCAAGTTCACCTGGAAATGCAGGAGGAGGAAGCAAAATGTGCCGACCTCCTCATGGCCCAGCCAGGGGCTCACAAAGGTAAGGTAGGCCTGGCGAGGTGTGCAGGGGAGGGGGGCACACTGCAGGCAAACAGCTCACCCCCTCTGCAAACAGGTGTTGCGGGTCATCTGTATCTTAAAAAAGAAAACAGGTCTATTTTCACACTTTTTAATAAACTTCTGGTAAAACTCATGTGGAGGGGAAGGCCCTTCACACCAACTTTTTGAAAGAAAGCTCATGTCCTTCACAGAAACTGTCTCCATGGTTTGAAACAATAGCAACTGCTACTAAAATAATGTCATGGATGTTCCCTGCTTTGCAAAAGCAACTCCGTTTTCCAGGAGTGCTTATCTGGTTTCCTGCATTTTAATCCTTAGTGACATCACAGGTGATTTTGATCCGTTAAGAACAATGGAAACTTGTCGGAACTCAAGCAGGAAAACAAGATGTTTGTTCCCCTGAAGACAGGCCCAGTGGCAGTGCCTTCCGGTCAGAGCAGGGCTGCAGGGGCGCAGACCCTGAGCCAGCTCAGGCACATGAGTAGCCACAAGGTCTGGCGTGGCACACAGGTTATAAACAGGAGCAAGCCCTTCCTTCTTCAGCTTTCTTCTCTCTGGTCTGTGTCATTACTTTATCCTTTTTAAGGAAAAAATGAAATTCAAAGTAGGCCATATGTTAAAACAGCCGGTGCACACCTGGCTCCGTGCACACCTGGCTCCGTGCAGACCGGTCTCCATACAGACCCGGCTCCGACACACCCTGCTCTGTGCACACCCGGCTCCGTGCACACCTGGCTCCGTGCAGACCGGTCTCCGTACAGACCCGGCTCCAACACACCCTGCTCCGTGCACACCCGGCTCCGTGCACACCTGGCTCCGTGCAGACGGGTTTCCATACAGACTCGTCTCCGACATACCCGGCTCCGTGCACACCTGGCTCCGTGCAGACGGGTCTCCATACAAACCCGGCTCCGACACACCCTGCTCCATGCACACCTGGCTCCGTGCATATCGGTCTCTGTAACAGACCCGGCTCCGACACAGCCAGATCCATGCACACCCGGCTCCGTGCACACCTGGCTCCGTACAGACCCGGCTCCAACACCGCCGGCTCCGTGCACACCCGGCTCGCGCAGATGGCGCTGCCCCGTAGAAACAGAAGAGGGTTGGCTGGGCAGCTGTGGACTTTCCAGGAGCCACATTAAAACAAGTAAAAAGAAACACGTGAGATTAGTTTAACTAACATTTTATGTGTCCAAATATATCTGAATTGTTATCGTTTAAACTGCAATTAATCAAACATATTAGGGAGAATTTATACATTTTCTTTTGTGTTGCGTTTGGACTGCCAGAGCCTTGGCGCTGGCCTGGCCTCCGGGCTCCTCCGGCCTCAGGAGCACTCTCCGCGTCACGCAGCACCCGTGGCTGCACCTCGCGGTTCCCGTTAACTGTGTCCAGAGAGAGGCTGATGGAGTAGCTCAGCTCACCACAGACAGGGCTTCTGTCCCCACACACTGACCATCGGTCCTACGACATCAAAGAGACTGGGTCCCACCAACTGGGGCCTCGTGACAAAGCAGTCGTCATGGCCACTCGGTGGGCCCTCGGGAACCCAGGAGACGTAGGGAGAGGAGAGACAGAGCGGAGACGAGGAGGGCAGTTAGAATCCTCTAGTTCATGGTCAGGGATCCACTCCTCTCCACACCCTGTGCCGGCGACCGTGAGGGTCCCACGGAACCCTCTTTCCCGTGGGTAAGCCGGGCCTTGGGAATCCTCGGGGTGCAGGTACCCTGACAGCAGCCGAACTGTGGACATGGGCTGGGAGCTGCCCACACGTGGCACGGACTGCCCGGCACAGCGTCAGAAAGCACTTTGCAGGCTCTGCCTTCTCCTCGGGCAGGGGCTGCACTCGGGCAGCCGCTCCCGACCGCTCTCCAGGCCATCCAGCTGGGCATTGGCTGCAATTTAGTGGGCTGTTGCTCTGGGGTGGTGGTGGGGCCTGTGTTCCATTTGGGGGAAGCTGAGTATTGTTTTGTGGGCGCTAAGTCCATGGTGCCACTTCTCTGTGTGCGTCACAGCAGCTCCTTCATGGAGCATCTGCCCCCTGGTGGTCAGTGCACATAATAGCAACCAGGTGGTCAGACACTTAGCTGTTAGACTTTCATGTATACTAGAGGCCTGGTGCACAAAATTCCTGCAAGAACAGGCCTGCCTTCCCCTGTTTGCAGGCACCGGCTTCCCTCCGGCACCCGGGCCCTGGGCTGCTTTGCTCCAGCCATGGCGACCACCCACCAGGGGCGTGCTCTGAGCCACACTGTGTGGCCACTCAGAGCACGCCCCATCCCTGCTGTGTGCCCACTGGGGCTGGAGGCGATGCAGCCTCCTCCTGAGCGGTGGTGATGCCCGGCTAACTCCATGTTACCTGTTTATATATGTAGCCTAGAGGCCCGGTGCATGAAATTCAAGCAAGAGGAGGCCTTCCTTCCCCTGGATGCCAGCGCCGGCTTCCCTCTGGCACGCGGGCCCAGGCTCCCCTCTTAGCCTTGGCTTCATTCAGAAGGTTATCTGGTCTGATTAGCATGTTATGCTTTTATTATTACAGATAGATTATATATAATGAGATATTGTAAAAATTAAGTTATGAAATTTTTATTAAAACGTTTCTCCCTTACTGTTATATTGGCTTTTCAGCAAAATATGCATGTGGGACGCATGAGGCCTGTGGGCACGAGTGTGACATGCTTGGGCTAGAGGGTCCCAGGCCTGAGGGAAACGGCTGCGCGGGGTGCAGGGAGAGGTCAGAGGGCAGGCAGCCTGTCTGTGGTCTCTGGACGCCCAGTGCCCGCTAACCTGGAGCATCTGGGCGAGAGCTGCGTGCTGCCCCCCTCCCGCCCCCGCGGAGGACGGTGTTCCTCCCGACAGGACAGGGCCTCCCGACAGGACAGGCAGCAGACAGCACCTCCTCCCGCCGCCTCACCGCCAGCGGCTGAGTCTGCTTGGCAGGGAGTCAGGTCCCAGCAAGGGCCAGGCGCAGGGGAAGGATGAGGCCATTTTTAAGAGGGAACTTGCAATCCCATTGGCAAGTCATTCCACTCGGTTCTGAGGCTGCAGGCCTTCCTGGACGGTTGCTCCCTGCCTAGCTGCCCCCGCCTCCCAGAGCCGCCCCTTGTGGCCAGACAGCCTCTCTCAAGGACTCTCGGGCCACTTGGAAGTGACTCCTTAGGGAGGACGTCCTCCCGTCGCTCCCGCCACAGGGCGAGAGGCCCTCCCTCCCTGCAGACAAGGAACTCCCCGCACTGTCTGTCTGCTCACAGCTGAGGGGTCCTGGTGGCTCGGGTGGTTGTGCTGACTCCACACCACGGAATATCAGGAAGCCTTTACACACGAGGGTGCACAGCACCAAAACTGTGACATTGCTAAACAGGAGTGAGGGAGAGGCTGGTACAGACAACGCCCCGTTTAGTAAAAACGACGATGTGTATACGGCATGTTACATGTCATAGGATGTCGTTATGATCCAAAGGCAGGTGCCCCAGAACTGGGACCCGGTGCCCTGCACGTGCCCTTTGTCCAGTGGCCTCCCCCAAGGGGGAGAGGGTCTGCAACGCTGCCTGTGCTTTGTCACAGCTCAGCTCTGGCTCCTCTTGCGACTGCACCCCAGCTTTGGTCGGGGCCGGGCCGTGGACAGAAGTCTCGGGGTGCGGGTGTTGACCAGTAAGTGCCCGCAGGCAGCCCAGCACAAGGCCCTGCAGGAGGAAGCTCCTCTCAGCCCTGCTGTTTCGTGGGAGGGGGGTCCGGGAGGGGCGCTGGAGTGACCTGGCTGTGGCACCTCCGCCCCACCCCCCAAACTCTCTTGTGGCTCCGCTTTGAGTGGAGGGTTCCGGGGACATTTGCTCTTAAAAGTGGCCTGGCATCTCGGTGACAGAGCCCCAAACCTGAGGCCCAGAGGTGCCCGTTGGGCCGAGTCAGTGGGATCGCTCACTGCGCCCATGAGCGCAGAGCTGTGCGGCGGGCTCGCCGGCTTCCTGCCGCACGTCGGGGTTTGCACGCTGAGGAGCACACAGCTGTGCTGTTCTCAGGAATTCGTTGGTACGTGTTTATTTCACAGAAAAGTAATGTGTGAGATAGGTATCTAATGAGCCGGTGTCTGTTTGCAAAGATTCACACCCGCCCGCTGACCGCCGCTCTGTGCCTCTCCCTCCCGCTGCAGCCTGCAGCGGCGCCTGGGACAACCTCACGTGCTGGCGCCCCGCGGACATCGGCGAGACCGTCACGGTGCCCTGCCCCACGGTGTTCAAGGTGTTCAGCAGCCTTCACGGCAAACCAGGTAATCCGCCTGTGTCTCTAGGGCGCCCGGGGTCTGTTTCTCCCGCAGGCGGCCGGAGTGGGCACCCTGTCTTCACTGGGCGAGGCGGGGAGGCGCAGGATGCGGGCTTCCGGTTGGGCCCCCTCAGAGCAGCTTAGGGAGGGCTGGCAGGCAGGACCGTGTGCGCCAGACCGCAGACCAGAGCCCCGGAGCGGGCATGGGGCAGGCAGGGTCGAGTACGCATGGCCCGACGTTTTACTTTGACCGCTCAAAGCGGAGCCACAAGCAGAGTTTGGGGGCGGGCGGAGGTGCCACACCTCGGGAGGGAGGTGCCTGTGTGAGGCTGAGACGCTGCGGCCTCTGCCCTAGCCAGGCTCTGAGGCTCCAGCACCTGTTTTCCTCTGAGTTTCCAGAACCAAAAGGCGCCTCCCGGCTCCCTCGCTGCAGGCCTCTGGGCTGCTCCCAGGAGGGGCTTTGTTTGGCCTCGTCTTGGACGCCCGGCTTCAGTCACTGGAGGAAACCTGCCTGGAAACAGACAGGAGCGGAGCCTGCAGGCGGGAGGCTGTGGGACCCTCGGGTCCAGGCAGTGTTCAGGGTGGATGGGAGAACAGACGCTGACCCCTGTAGGTGGGGGAGGGGGTGTAGGAAGGAACGACCTTCCATCTGGACACCACACCCTACCTTCCAGGGAACATCAGCAAGAACTGCACGAGCGACGGGTGGTCGCAAACCTTCCCGGACTTCATGGACGCATGCGGCTACCATGACCCCGAGGACAGGAGCCAGGTGAGGCGAGGCCGCCTCGGAGGGACCTCGTGCCGCAGCGCTGCCTCTCTGGGGCCAGGCCCAGGGTGTGCGGCGCAGAGAGGCGGTGCTCTCGCTGGCCGTGCTGCGCGGCTCCCCCTGACCAGCCCCGGCGCCCTCTGCCTCTGGGCGTCTCGTCCTGCTGCCTTCCGGGGCAGCCCCACGGCATGGAGACAGACCCCCCACATCTCTGCAGCCTGAGAGGCAGAGCCTGTTCGTCCACTCGGCGGCTGCATCCTGGCATGTCCCCTCTGCAGGCACCATGGGGCCGCTCAGGCCAGGCCAGGAGAGGGCCCAGGACACAGGTCGGGGGGCCCAGGGCACAGGCCGGGGCCAGGAGGGGGGCCCCTGCAGTCACCTGTGGCCTCCACTCTTCCTGCCCCTCTAACGACCTCCTAGCACCAGCACCCATGCAAGGTGGCTTCCTTCGGCAATGCCGGCCCCTCCAGAGTGAGCGGCCCTCACGTTCAGGCTCCCAGATCCCACGGTGGGGGCACCAGTAAGACAGCAGTGGGGCCCCAGGGCCTGCCTGGTGAAGCCAGAGTGTCCAGCTGACGCGTTCACCTCCCGCTCGAAGAGCTGTTTCTTGCTCGTTTCGTAGATTCTGCACATTCACAAGGCACGTCCCTAACGGATTAGAAAGTCCGGCAGTTTCATGCCTGAAAGTGGAGAAAACGGCACAAAACCAAAACGATGATTTTTCTTCCGGATGCAGCTTCTGCTAATACTTTGAATATGTGGCTGTTTAGGGAATTATTTCCGACGTGAACTCTGTGAGTGCGTTGGCCCCGGCCTGGCCAGCCAGGGCCGGGTGGGCCTGCCCAGGGCGCCGGTCTCAGTCCCCGGCCCTCTCTCCCCAGACCCAGGGTTTGATCAGGGTTCCCGCTCACACCGCACACTCTGCCCTGGGTGTCGGTGCAGTCTTTGCTAGTTTCTAAGCCAGTTAAGTTCGAGGAAAACAAAACAGCTTCCCCGAGAGCCCCGGGCGCAGGCCACGCGGGCACATGCGCCGTGCCAGGCGCTCCCGGAGGCACTCGTGTACACGAGCTGCACGGCTCGTGACTGAAGAACACTTCTGCTAAATTTAGCCGGGAGCTGTTTGGCATCTCAGCCGACCCGTGCACCAGGCGGACACATTTCTTCCATATTATGCCATAACCCTAAAAATACGCCCGCTCCCTCCCCTCCTCCAGACGCCACAGTGACTCTGCTCGCCGCGATTGGCCCCTCCACCAGGTCCCCTCCCGGCCCGGAGCGCCCCCTTACCCTGTGCTCTGTGTCCCCACAGCCCTCCAGGACGCGCCCACGTGCCCAGCGCCTGCCCGGGGAGGCAGGAAGGGCTGATGGGGGTGTCGCGGACTGCTCACGCTGCCGCCACCAGTCTGAGCGCAGGCAGTGCCCGCTTCGCTTCCCGTTGAAGCAGAGGATGGCCTCTGTGGTGTGAGGGCCACGGAGACTGTCCTCATGCGTGGCTCGTCAGAACGGGGTGGCCGGGAGCAGGGACGTGGGGCCGGCAGGACAAGGCCGGGCAGGCGCCTGGGATGATGGACAGCAGCAGCGAGCCAGTGTTCCCGCGGCCGCACAGCCCGGCCCCCGGGAAGCGCCCCGGCCAGGCCGCCTGAGCACGCGAGACGCACGGTCAGACGCACGGTTCACAGGACCATCGCCGGCCACTCCGATGCGCTTTCGGCGGAGCCGGAGCAAGGCACCCTGGACCCGCCGTGGGGAAGGGGTCTCAACAGCGGAGGGCCCGCCGCCGGGTGCGGGGTCCAGGAAAGGTGCTCGCCCAGGAGGGACGGAGCCGGAAGCAGAGCCCAGACTCGGCGCTGGGAAGGGGACCTCAGGAAGGAGCGGGCTAAGGCAGCCACGAGCGCCCCCCTCAGACCCAGAGCCTGCCGGAGGTGCCTGCTCCCCTCTTTGGCTGGTGGCGATGGAGCCCAGCTCTGGGGGAGCCCCACACTTTTCGGGGCTGCGTCCAGGGGAACCCAAGGCTGGGCTCGGGCCTCTGGCAGTTTGTGCCACTGGGCCCTAGAGGTGCAGACTGGACAGACAGATGGGGACCTTCAGGGGAAGGGCTGACAGTCCCCCAGGCCGCAGAGGCCAGGCGAGCGCAGTGAGCCGCCCTCGCTGGGAAGTGCTAGCCGCTGCCGCTCGGGGGTGCGCTCTGGGCAGGACATAGGCTCACGGGGCCCTGAAGGGACTGGGCAGGCTCAGCGTGGGGGCCGGCAGTGTGAGGGGACAGGAAGCCCATCGCAGACAGAAGCAGCCCTGTGCCCCCCCTGGGGGTGGTCCTGAGGACGGGCATCGAATCAAAGCCTCTGAGAGCGCCGTCCGCCTGGCCACACACAGGCAGGCGGTCCTGTCCACCCCGGTCCACAGGGAGGCGGACGGGGCGCGGCCACAACCTCCCTGAGCCACACGGGCCCGAGCGTAAAGTTACGCCTGGCTTAGGGGAAAGAGCACATTAAAAATACATTAGGCATCAGAGCAAATGTTTGCTCAGGACAGCAAATGAAGTCACAGGTTATGGGGCGTCGAACCCAAGACCCCTGGTCGAGAGCCCACCGCCCACCCTCCCCAGCGCTGTCTCTGGCAGCCCAGGCCTGCGCCCTGCCCTGGCCTGCTCTGACCCGGTGGCTCGCCTGCCGGGAGGCACCTCGGAGGCTCCCACAACCCCTCCTCTGCCGGACGGATCCCAGGAAAGAGGGAGAGGAGAGCACACATATGTTCACACCACCACACATTCACACACATGCTCACCCACAGTCACGCATGCACACATGCTCACACACAGAGTCACACTCATACACACCCACAGTTACATATACACACACCCACACTCACCCAGTCACACTCACACACAGTCATATTCACACACAGTTACACACACGTACACACACAGTCACACCCACATATACTCACACGCACACTCACCTTCACATGCTCACACACCACAGTCATACTCACATGCGCACACAGTCACATGCTCACACACTCACACTCACCTACGTGCTAACACACACTCAGATGCACACTCAAACACACACATGCTCACACAATCACACGCTCACACTCACACACTGGAACATGGAAGCAGGGACATTTTCTTCCTCCCTGGTTTCTGATTGGAGATTTGAAATGGGTCACATTTGAAATGGGTGTCAGGCGGGTGGGCTTGGGAAGAATATGGGGTTCAGCCATGTCTCTCACCCCCCTTCGACTGCTGGATTTTCCTCTCTTCGGTCTGAATCACGGCATTTTCAGAAGCCTGTGTCACTGGAGCACGTGCACATTCCTGAGAGTAAATGTCCACTTGGAGCTGCGTGTGTTCTGATGGAAAGAAAGGTGGGAAGCGCAGCGGTGTCACTCTGGAGTCCAGGTGCTGTGGGGACGGGCCGGCCGCTGGTCCCACCTGGGGTCTACTGGATGCCCGCTCACCCCTGCTGCTCCTTCCAAAGTCACCCAGTGAACTGAGGGGAAGGCAGTGTTTGAAGAGGAAGTGTGACCTTGAGGTTGGGGGATGGGACTGTGAAGGGCTTGATCGGGCTCCAGGCCATCGGCAGGCGAGAGCAGCTCCTGAGCAAACTGCATCTGTGGCTGGAACTGCCCTCGGCCCCGCACTGGCCGCTCACGACGGCTCGTCTGTCTTTGTAGATCACCTTCTACGTCCTGGTGAAGGCCACCTACACCCTGGGCTACAGCGTCTCCCTGGCTTCTCTGGCCACAGGCAGCGTCATCCTTTGCCTTTTCCGGTGAGTGGCACAAACGAGCAGTCTGCGGGGAACGCGACACTCGAGCGTCTGAGGGGCGTCTGAGGGGGAGACAACACGGCCTGAGCAATCTCTGCGCTGAGTCTGCGTGCCCTCGGGCTGCCGGTGGGAATGCAATGCCAGCATTTACCTTTTGTTTAACTCTTCTGCACTCCGTCCATAAGGATGTAATCCTGATGGGGGCAAGAACTCAGGGCAAGCATTATTTACTAAATATAGTCACACATTATGCAAATGCTGTAAAAACACAGAAGCAACCCTTGCCATTGGCTACTAGTGCTGTACGTGTGTAAGAATGAAAAGGTGGGATCCAGATTGCCTGGTTCCAATCCTGGGTTTGTCTCCTAGCAGCTGTGTGACCTTGGACACATTATCAACCTCTCTGTGCATCTGTCAAGTGTGGACCCAAGGGAGCCCACAGGGCGTGTGGCAGGCTCTGCATTTGGCCTGTTTTCCACGTGGTGAGGCACGTCCTCGCTGCCCCTAACCCTCCGCAGTTTCTTCAGCAGCAAACGGACATGTTGTTTGTCGGCTGGAGGGCAGAGGCCTCGGTCCTACAACAGATGCTTCTGTCCAGAAAACACCACTAAGTGTGTTTCGGGCCAAACCCCCGCCAGCCATCACTGGCACAGAGTAAGGGGACAATACTGAGCTTATTGTAACAGGGTTTCCATTGCCACATATCTGATGACTTCTTGCTGAGATAGAGTTCACATATTGAACTCTACATGATATAACAGGTGGAACGTCTGTAGAACCTAACACACTTCAGCATATCTTTGCTTGCCAGTTAAATAAATGAGTGACAAAGAGAGCTGAGACCTCCAGCAAATGGGATTAAATGGTCCCTGCCGTTTTTCAGGCCTCTCACCTATTCAGAGGACTGGTAGTTCTCAGAAAAACGTGTACTTCAAAAAATGTGAACAACATTGATCATATTCTAGTTACTCTTTTTTTAAAGGCTAGTACCACATGAACCTTTGTGTACTATGTTCCATGTTTTACTACATATATGTATACATTTTAAAATCTTTATTGTTGGAAGTATTACATACTCCTCATTCTTTCCCCATTGACCTCTTCCAGCCTGCTCCCCCAGGCCCACAGCACCCCAATGCCTGTGTCACGGGTGATGCTCATTGATTGGTCTCTTCCCACCCACCCACCCTTCCCTGCCTTCCCTCTGAGGTTCAGCAGTTTGTCCCATGCTTCTGTCTCTGGGTCCATTTTTGTTCATCAGTTTATTTTGTTCATTAGATTCCACATATGAGTGAGACATGTGATACTTGTCTTTCTCTGACTTAGCATAATGCTCTCCCGGTCCTTCCACACTGTTGCACACGGTAAGAATTATTTCTTTTTTACAGCCGAGTAGTCTCCACGGCCAGGCTGTGCCACAGCTTCACCCCTGGGACTGCTGCTTCCGAGCCTCAGGGATGGTGAAGGTGCTGCTGGAACATGGGGTGCATATCCTCAGACCTTCCAGCATAAACAAGAACGGGAACATTTAGGAAGGGAGGCTGACTCAGGGTAACAAACTAGAAAGAAATATTTCCCCTTATTTTCTTTTTTAATATAGTTTAACGCTTTATCCACTGAGCGTTAAACTAGTCAGGGCTCCCCTTATTTTCCAAGAGCTAAACAACCCCATGTTGTTGTCGTCTGCGTTGCATTCAGATTGGCCCTGTGCGGCGTGTTTACTAGCCAGACGCGTGGTGTCTGGGAATCACCAGAAACACGGACGAGGCTTGTTAAGAGGCTGTAAGTGATTTATGATCTGAAGCACGGCCCTCTGGGCGCGGCCCGCCAGCCCCGCTGAGAGGCTTCCTGGTCACACTGCCGCAGAGCCTCCGCTACTGGCAGGGCCCAATGGCCAGAAATGGCTCCCAGGGACGGCTCTGCCCGGTCTGGACACAGAAGCTGTTCCCTCCTGTCTCCCTCTGTTGGAGGATCGGAGCTGCTTCCCTAGACGCCTGTGAGAGAGGGGACCCCAAAGTCCCAGAGGAGAACTCTACTTCCCATCACAGCCACATCACCTGCCGCCTCCTTGTTTCACGCAGAGACAGTGGCATGGGTGAAGCATAGGCCGGCCTCTCTGGGGTCACGGCAGCTGCCGCCGAGCGTGGCCTGTGGTCCAGGTAGTTGGCGTGATAGTTCTGATCCCACAGGCATCACGAGGAGCAGCAGCGGTTGCCAATATGCCAGGCCACGCCCTTGACAGGTGTTTGCAATCCAGTCCTCACGGCATCTCCACAGCCGAGTCTCCCAGGCCCAAGGGCGCCGTTAGGGGAGGAGGCATGTGCCCGTGCGGAGCCCTGAGCGCAGAGCCGTCCACCTGCTGTGGGGCGTAGTGTCCAGGTCCACCCCCAGCACCACAGAGGACCGGCCCAGCTGGTGTGTCTAGAAGCCACACTTTGCTTTTGTGTGTTTTTTTTTAATGTTTTTATTGATGTCAGAGAGGAAGGGAGAGGGACAGAGAGAGAGAAGCATCAGTGATGAGAGAGAACCCCTGATCAGCTGCCTCCTGCACACACCCCCTGGGGACTGAGCCTGGCATGTGCCCTGCCTGGGAATCAAACTGTGACCTCCTGGTTCTCAGGTGGACACTCCACCTCTGCGCACGCTGGCATCCACCGCAGACCCGGACTCACAGGTGACATGCTTAGCTGAGTGACAAGGGCGAAGCTGGCAAATGGGAGGTGTGTGCACGCTTGGTGGCAGCGATGACACCCACTGCACTGGGTGGGGAGAAACAGGTGAGAGCATGGGAAGGCGAAGAAGGAAAGGAGGAGAGGAAGAAGAGGCAGTTTGGAGAGACGAGTGTTTCTCTCTCCTTCGCCCCCCAAAGCCACGGAGACAGAGCAGCATCGCTGTGGGGACTTAGCTTGGGGACTGGGCCCCACAGCAGTTGCCCACCGTCGGGGCAGCCTCCGGGTTGCCCTGGAGACACCAGAAAACTCACTTTTACTGAACGTCTTCACTGACTGAGGCTCCGGGTGCGCCCAGGGTGAGCGGACTCTCACCAGGAGTGGGCTGGCGGCCGTGCCGGCAGCGCCCGGAGCAGCTCGGCCGGGCCGTGATGCTTCTGTCGCTCTGTGAACGTGTCTTGGAGTCATGCAAAGGGCATTCCTCTGTGGGTTCTCTCCCTCTCATTTTAGAGGAAATCTATCCATGTTGTTGCGTGTGGCGCCCTGCTCTCTCAGTGCGAGTGAGATGACACGGTTTTTGTCTCTTTAGCTGCCAGTGGCTACATGGTGCCTTTTGGGTGGAACTGTAACAGGAGCTATGCGTGTGCTCATATAGTATCTCTTACACATATGTGCACACTTCTTAAGATACATGTTGTGTTTATATGTGTACACATTTATAGTAATGCTGACTTCACGTGTATGCCGCATGTACTGCTCACAGACTATGCATAGCTTCAGTCTTTCTAGGTCCTACCCACCCATTTCCCAAAGTGGTGGCCTCAGCTGTGCTATCCAGCTGAGGGGAGACTTCTATCCACTCTGCATCCTGTGACTGTCTCTCACATCAGTTTTAAAACTGTAGCTGTCCAAGTGGGTGTGTCATCCTATCTAATAAAAGAGTAATATGCAAATTGACCATACCTCCACTACACCCACAAGCCATGCCCACAAGTCAATTAGGAGCAAATATACAAATAAATCCCAACAAAAATGGCTGAGGCCACAGCGAGCAGGAGGGAGGCTTGGGTTTCCCCGACAATGGAAGAAGCCAAGCTTTCCGCCTGCCCTGGCTGGCCTAGGCCTCCACTCAATGCTACAAAGTTTCAATTATAGAAGATAAATAAATCCAAACAGAAATGGCTGCTGCTACGGATCTGAAGAGAGAAGGAGGCTAGGGTTACCCCCAGTGATGGAGGAAGCCAAGCTTCTGCAGCCCTGGCTGGCCCAGGCCTCTGCTTAAGGCTACAAAGTTTCAATTATAGAAGATACATAAATCCCAACAGAAATGGCTCTATCCTATCTAATCCTATCTAATAAAAGAATAATATATAAATAGACCATCACTCCAACACACAAATGGCTACCTTCATGTGGTCAAAGATGACTACTCCCATGTGGACATAAGATGGCTACCCACATCATGGCCAGCAGGGAAGGGCAGTTGGGAGGGACCAGGCCTGGAAGGGAGGGCAGTTGTGGGTGATCAAGCCTGCAGGAGAGGGCAGTTAGAGGTGACCAGGCCAGCAGAGGAGGGAAGTTGGGGGCTACTGGCCCTGCAGGGAAGGGCAGTTGGGAGGGACCCAGGCCTGCAAGGGAGAGCAGTTATGGGGGACCAAGTCTGCAGGGGAGGGCAGTTAGGAGCAAACAAGTTGGCAAGGGAGCAGTTAGGATCAATCAGGCTGGCAAGGAGTGGTTACGGGGTGATCAGGCTGGCAGGCAGAAGCAGATAGGAGCAATCAGGAAGGCAGGCAGGCAAGCAGTTGGGAGTCAGCAGTTCTGGATTGTAAGAGGGATGTCTGATTGCCTGTTTAGGTCCGTTCCCGGTAGGATCAGTCCTAAACGGGCAGTAGGACATCCCTTGAGGGGTCCCAGATTGGAGAGGGTGCAGGCTGGGCTGAGGGACACCCCCCCACACACCCTGTGTATTTCATGAACTAGGCCTTTAGTCATAACATAAAATCATGTTTTAATTTGCATTTCCCTGATGGGTAAAGAGAGCATATGTTTGGAAATCTTTTTTATGAGCACTGTTTGAGTGTTTGCTCATTTTCTCTTCATTGTGTCTCTTTCTATCAGTGTATTTCCAGGAGTCTTGTAGCAGGGTCTTTTCAGAGGCAGGTGTTAGAAATTTCATCTCCAGTTCATGGTTCAGCTTTACACTCTCTTACTGGGTCTTTTGAGGAAGAAAAGTTGATTTTAATGACGTCATTCTTGTTGGCTTTTAGGTCAGTGCCCCCTGAGTCCTGTTTAAGACATCGTTGGAATGCTCTTTTGATATCAGAGAGATGTTCTATTATTCTCACTTTTACAGTCAGGTTGTTGTCCATCTGCCATTCAGTCCAGTGTGTGGCACAAGGTGGGGTCGGTCCTGCTTGTCTTTCCAGAGGCCTGTCCGGGCGTCCGGTGCCCACGGCCTGACGCAGCTGTGACTACATCGCAATTTGTCTCTGCCTATCACTGCCATTCTGACATTGTTGTGCTTTCTGCACCTTCATCCTAAATCTTGACTTCTGCTGGTCTGAGCCTGTCAGCTTTCTTTTTCATTAGGAGAGTTTGGCCATTTGCACTTATGTGTGAATTTTTAAACATCAGTTTGTCAGTAGCCGTTTAAAAAACCCTCTGCAGGGGTTTATTTAGATGGCATTGCATTTATAGATCAGTTTGGACAGACCAGTATCTTTTAGAGTCATTCAATCCATGATAATAATAGATCCTCCTATTTGTTTAGTTTCCTTTCATTTCTTTCAATAATGTTTTGTGATTTGGGGTAAAGTCTGCCTCTTCTGATAGTCATTTCTAGGCATTTGTTCATGCTGTTTTATATATTTTGTTAGATTCCATTCCATTCCATTTCTTTTTTTCTTTTTTCTTTTTTTTTTTAATCCTCACCCGAGGATATTTTCAGAGAGAAGGAAGAGAGAGAGAAACATTGACTGGTTGCCTCCTGTATGAGCCCTGACAGGGCCCAGGCCAGGGAGGAACCTGCAACTGAGGTGGGTGCCCTGGACCAGATCAGAGCAAATACCCTCTGTCAGTGGGCTGACGCTCTATCCACTGAGCCAGCGGCCAGGGCTGGTTCCACTCCTGATTTTCTCAGGAAAGAGTTTATTTCGGCTTGCTAATCCTGCTCAGCAGCCTTGCTGGACTCACTCAGGAGCAAATTCACAAAATTGGTGTTTGAGTGTCCCTCCCTCCATCCCCAGGCGGCTGCACTGCACCCGGAATTACATCCACCTCAACCTGTTCCTTTCATTCATCCTGAGGGCCATCTCGGTGCTAGTCAAGGACGGCGTGCTGTACTCCGGCTCCAGCACCCTGCACTGCCCCGACCAGCTGGCCTCCTGGGTAAGGCCGTCGGGGGCTCAGAGGGAAGTGGCCTTCATAGCTCTTGGGACCATTTATTTGCTGGTTTCTCTTTACTTGTTTGTCTCTCGTGAAGAGAGGACAGTGGAAAAGAACAGAGAGAGAAAGGCGGCCGAGAATGGGACGAGGATGAGGAGGCAGAAGGCAGTCGAGGAGCTAGGGCCACACATGCCCACAGCTCAGGTTCCAGGCCACTGTCGCTGGGGTTGCATGACACCTGCCACATGTTGTGTCACCTTCCGGCGAGCTCTGCGCGCTGGCCAGGGTGCGAGGGCCTCTCTGTGAAACGCACCCGCCGTCCGGGCCTCTGCTGGGTGTCCTGCTTCCTTACACAACTGGGGGGGCCGGGGGGAGCCCAGGAGCCTGAGGGTGTTTCTCTGAACAGGATGCGCTCCTGCTCTGACGTTGCAGGTGGGCTGCAAGCTGAGCCTGGTGTTCTTCCAGTACTGCATCATGGCCAACTTCTCCTGGCTGCTGGCGGAGGGGCTGTACCTGCACTCCCTGCTGGCCACCAGCTTCTCCCGCGGCCGCAGCCTCCAGATCTACCTCCTCATCGGGTGGGGTAAGGCCGCCCGCCCGCCAGCTCATGCCAGCACCCCCTCAGCTGCCCGCGAGCCCACAGGTCCCTGTCCTGTCCCCTTGGGACACCCAGTGCTGACCCAGGAGGTGCCCTTCAGGCCCCGTGAGGAAGGGCACTGCCAGGACAGTGAGGTCCCTGCAGCCAACACTTCTCCAGGGAGCCAGGGCCGGGCGAGGCTGGCCACACCCCACTGCTGAGCGGACGGATGGGAGCCAGACAGAGGGCAGGAGTGCCGGCGGCTCAGGAAGGGGTCACGCGGGGGACACCACAGAGAGGGCACGTCTCCGTCCGAGGCGCGGTCACCACACTCCCCAGGCAGAGTCACGCGGGTCAGGCCGTGCAGGGTCAGCTTTCAGACACGCAGTGCGTTCGCCAGTGCGCAGCGAGGAGCACGCATAACCCCCACGGGCTCATAGGAGGCAAAGCCCTGGTCTTGGGGCCGGGCTGACCAGGGGCTGGGGTAACTGGCGTATCTCTGCAGGCATCCCCGCCGGATGCACAGCCGCGTGGGCTGTGGCCAGGCTCTGCTTGGAAGACACGGGGTGAGTGTGGGCCCCACGGTGCGCCACGTGCCACCGCCAGCTGTTCCTCACTGACCCCGCCTTCGACCCTCACTTGTGGGGTCTCATGGGACTGGATCTGCCCCTCGGGCTCCTGCATGACCTTCGGGGTCACCTCCCTGCAGGCAGGCTGTCACGGGGAGAATACACAGACAGACCCCGAGGTCACGCCGAGGCCTAACACACAGTCGTTAGGCCTGTGGGGGCAGGAGGGACAGAGGGCATCCCTGCAGCATCTGCCCTCGCTGCTCCCTGGACAGACTCGGCGGTGAGGTCACTTTCCTTCTCTCCTTCCTGCAGTTGCTGGGATACCAACGAGCACAGTGGCCCCTGGTGGGTGATCCGAACCCCGATTCTAATCTCAATTCTCGTAAGTCATCTTGCACGAGGCAGCAGCCGCCCGTGGTGGCCGCAGGGGAAGGGCCTGCCAGTCCTGAGCGCGGGGAAGCAGTGTCCCCTCGGCCTTCCAGAGCCGCTCACAGGAGGGGCGTGGCCTGTCCTGGGCTCAGCATGAGGCCTCAGCGAGCCTCCTGTGTCCTCCTGTGAGAGGGCCCTGGGTCACAGCCCGGCCAAGGACACGTCAGAGGAGCTGGATTCCCATTTGTCCTGTTTGTGTCTCCGCATTAATTCGCATGCCTTGCCGCAGCTGGGGTCCAATACGTGATGCAGACGACAGACTGCGTTCGGCCCCAGCCCGCCTCCGGGTGGGAAACAGAGAACAGACGTGTATCTGTTTTGTGCAGGTCAACTTCATCCTGTTTGTGAGTATCTTGCGGATTTTACTGCAGAAGCTGACGTCCCCAGAGGCCAGAGGCAGCGAGCAGTCGCAGTACAAGTGAGTGTTTCCATGGGCCCAGCAGCCCTCAGGCCTCACAGCCTGGACACCGAGAGGGAGGGGCCACGCCAGCGTGCGGGCAGAACAGGTTCCAGGCGCTGCAGTCCTCGGTCTGGCGGCCGCGGGGGAGGGCTGGATGTGCAGAGGCTCAGCATTGGAGACCTTGGAGCCGTGCCGAGGTGTTTTGCCCATTGGCCTGTTTGCCACCTGACTTTTCTCTGTGGTCACACTTAATGTGTGTTTATGTCCACCTGGAGGTCCAGTGCATGAATTCTGGCCAGCCCATCCTGGAGAGGGTGGAACAGGGCCGGGAGGGCTGCGAGGAGGGGCTGCAGGTGATTGGCTGGTGGTCCTGGGCCCCAATGGGGTGGGGGGCCAATAGGTGGCCAGCAGCCTGGCGGAGGGCCCATGGGTGATTGGCTGGCCCTGCCCCTGATCAGAGTGGGGGGCCAATCGGGAGGCCACGCTGGCTTGGGGGAGGGGCCTCAGGAGGTTGGCCAGGAGGTCCCCAGGCCACAGTGGGTGTCATAGCAACTGGTCTGGTGGTGACCGTCGCTGGCATATCTAGACTCTTCCTGCCCCCTCAGACCACAGTCTGTGCAGGCCTCATGCTTCACAGTGGACATGACGCTTTAACCCCGACGAGAGTGGGGGAGCCTGGCGTGCTCGCTGTGCAGTGCGGGCCCAGCCGGCATTCAGCCGGGGGAGTGCGGCCGAGAGCTGGCCCTGCGGCACCGCGGCCAGAGGCGGCCATCACCGGCTCCTTCCAACCCAGGGTCCGGGCCCGAGGCGGAGCACACCGCCGGAGGAGGCAGAGGGATGGTGGTCACCGCCGGGGGAGGAGGAGGGACGGTGGTCACCGCCGGGGGAGGAGGAGGGACGGTGGTCACCGCCGGGGGAGGAGGAGGGACGGTGGTCACCGCCGGGGGAGGAGGAGGGACGGTGGTCACCGCCGGGGGAGGAGGAGGGACGGTGGTCACCGCCGGGGGAGGAGGAGGGACGGTGGTCACCGCCGGGGGAGGAGGAGGGACGGTGGTCACCGCCGGAGGAGGTAGAGGGACGGTGGTCACCGCCGGAGGAGGCAGAGGGACGGTGGTCACCGCCGGGGGAGGCAGAGGGACGGTGGTCACCACCAGAGGAGGAGGAGGGAGTGGACGGTCACTGCCGGAGGAGGGAGTGGACAGTGGTCAGGAAGTTTCGAGCGTCCTCCAGGGCCGGCACATAGCAAGCGTGTGAATAGACAGGAGGGTGTGAGGGTGGACAAGTCGAGGCACTCCTTCTCGGCAGCCCGCCCGGCGCTGGGCTTTCCCGCTGGACAGTGAGGGCGTTGCCAGGGTCACACCCGGCCCAGCTCCGTCCGTCCGTCTGCAGGAGGCTGACCAAGTCCACGCTGCTGCTCATCCCGCTGTTCGGCGTCCACTACGTGGTGTGCGCCGTGCTGCCCACGGGCGCCTCCGCCCGGTTCCAGCTGCTGTGGGAGCTGTGCGTGGGCTCCTTCCAGGTGCGTGCGGGCGGGCGGGCGGGCGGGGGCTGCCCTGTCTCGCCGCCGCGCCCTGACCCCTCTCTCCCGCAGGGCCTGGCGGTGGCGGTTCTCTACTGCTTCCTCAACAGTGACGTGAGTCCCCCGGAGCCACGCGGTCGTGGGGAGGGCCTAGGGAGGGTGGCCGGGAGGTTTGCTGGCCACAGCGGGCTCGTGAGCTCCTCAGGGGCCAGTCCGCACACCTGGTTGTGAGGGGCTCCCCAAATCCCCAGCCTGGACACCAGGCGAAGGCGCCAGTGCGGCCCCAGCCCACACAGCCAGGACCGAGTCCTCCCTGCGCCCGCCGGCGCCCTCCCTGCGTGGCCCGGCCTCTTCGCCCCGAGCCTCGAGCACGGGTGCCCGTCACCCTGAGCCCAGAGCGGCAGGGGGGGCCCTCCAAGGCCACCTGCTCCCTGGCGCCTGCCCTCTGCTCTGTCCCGCAGTGCCCATCATTTCCCATGCTCCCTGGTGACACCTGAGCCGAGGGCGCCTTCCCAGACTGTCCCGCGGCCCCCTCCCCCTGTCAGGACCCAGGCTTCCCATCTTTCTGCCAAGTCCCGCTCCTGAGTCCCCACCCAGCTGCAGCAACTGCGGTGACAGTTTCAGCCAGGCCACCCCCAACTCCTGCTCTTGAACCCCCCTCCCAGCTTACTGCTGCGGTGGCCCCTCTGGAATCACAGTTCTGCAGAGCCCAGCACTGGGCCCCTCGCGGGCAGGAACGCTCACACAGCCCCAGGCGCTGTGCCCTGGGCAGCCAGCCTGGCCTCCAGCTACCTCCTGCTGCTGTGGCAGCCAGCACAGCGCCTCCCGCCTCCCGGAGCCCAGCCATGGCCACTGCCTCCATCCTCACACCTGCCCGCCCCTCCGCACTGCCTGTCCGCACAGGCTCCACCCCCACTCCCACGGCCTCTGCTGAGGTCTAGGTTGCGTGTCGCGGCTCCGCTGGGTCCGCCACTTCAATGGACTGAGCCAGCTCCCAGCAGCGGCTCCCACAGTCAGGAGACCCTCGGCCCCGGTTGACATCCCCTTCCATGCCCGCCTCTCCCTGAGCCGTCCCGGGTGTCCGCCTGAGGGACGCAGAGGGATGGCACCAGGAGGGGCAGAGGGGCAGTGTGTTCTGGGGCACCCTGCCCGGGCACCGAGCCCCGCCTGACCGGCCCCTGTTGCCCTGCCCCAGGTGCAGCACGAGCTGCGAAGGAAGTGGCAGAGCCTGTGCCCGCGCCAGCCCTCTGGGCGGGGCGGCCGGCTCCACAGCCTGTCCATCTCCAGGGCCGGCTCGGAGAGCACCCTGCCCTCCCTCCGCGGCTCCCAGCCCCCGTCCTTCCTTCAGACGGAGGCCTCGGTCATCTAGTGCGCGACCCGCCGGGAGCGGTCAGCGCCGCTCAGGCCGGCCGGGCGCGAGGTCCCCTCGTGGCTAAGCTGTTTCTCAGCAGCTGCTAGTTCGTCACGCTCGGCCGCACGGACGGACCCATTTCCAAAGAGAACACGGGGACCAAGTGACCCTGAGCAAGAGGCAAGGCCCACCCGGGGAAGGCTGCGCCGGGATGGCGGCCCCCGCGGAGCGGCCCCGCACGCCACCCCTGCCGCCCGGGCCCCAGGCTGCGCGGCAAGGAGCCGCGGGACCGCAGCTTCCAGGCCGCAGCGCGGGAGCAGCGCCGGGCCCGCGGCAGGGCCTCCGCCTGAAGGGCGCCGTGGCCCCTCCAGGCCCTCCGGCGGCCGCAGACGCGGGAGAGGGCTCCTGAGGAAGCAGCCCTGCCCTCCCCGGGAAAGGGCGGCTCTGGCTGCGGGGACAGCGCTCTGAGGCCTCCGTGCACGCGGGGCCGGCGGCCCTCCCGCCCGCCCGGTGAGCTGGGAGGCCGTCTGGGGGCGGCCACCCCCAGAGGAGCGCCGGGCCTGCCGCTTCCCCCACCGCACGCCCCGCCTCCCCCACCGCACGCCCCGCCCCCCACCGCACGCCCCGCCCCCCACCGCACGCCCCGCCTCCCCCACCGCACGCCCCGCCCCCCACCGCACGCCCCTGAGCCCGGAGGCAGGGATGGCGCGGGAGCGGCTGGGAGGCCCTCTCGCCCGGGGTCACAGCGGTGTTCGCCTGGAGCCGGCTGTGCCTGGGTCACGGGCGGACACAGCTTCCCTCGGCGTCATCGCAGCCCTCAGAGCCGCACGAGCCTCCTGCCGGGAACGGGGGCTTTGCTGGTATTTGTTGACAGGAGACGTGACCAGCCGCTGTATCGTTTTAAAATGTACATGTGTGTCTGTGTAGACAGTCAGTAAACCTATCTGCCTGTGTGTCAGAAGCCCCTTGGAGCCCTGGGCCTCACGCTGAGGAGGGACGCCCCGTCTGGGCCGCTCGGACGAGGAGGGAGCGGGTGGGCATGCTCCTGCGTGGCCCCGTGCTGCTGCAGCTGACAGGCGCGCTGCGGGGCCGGGTCTGTGTGTGGTCGCCCCTCCACGGAAGCCGAGCCTGCTGAGTGGATGCAGGTGAACATGTGTGAGTGCATGTCTGTGTGCACATTGGTATGCGCATGTCTGTGTACGCATGCATATGTATGTATGCCTTGGATAACCCCAACCTCATTTCTGCCAGAAGCAGAAAAAAATCCATTTCTGATAAACTCCATGCCCAACCAAACTGCTCCATTTCACAATGAGGAGCACCCACCTGCTCAAACCTAAATTGTCCAGAGGAGAGGGTCCGAGGCGAGCGGACAGACACCCGCTGTGCTTTTCCTAAGAGCAAAGCAGGTGGGAATGAGGAGAGCAGGCGGGCCTGGCACCCTGCCCATCCAGGTGGCGCTGGCTGTGGCTTTGTCTCCACGTTACGGACAGAACACACTGAGACTCCCGCCTCAGTCATTCCCGAGAGGCTGTAAGTGCAGTGACCCACCTTCCCGGGGCCTCCCTCCGCTGCACTCTCCCTGGTCTCCACGGAAGGGAAGGGCCTCTCTCCCTGGTCTCCACGGAAGGGAAGGGCCTCTCTCCCTGGTCTCCACGGAAGGGGTCGCTGTCATCCCTGTTTTCCTCAGGAAGGAGGGGTGCAGTTCGGCAGCAGCTCTCTCGTTAAGATGAGGCATTGGCCTTGAGGCACAGACTGTGCTCCCCTCACCACAAGCGTGTTCCTCAGGGCCTCCCGTCCCCCTCCCACCACTGCTCCTCTCCCTCCCCTCCCCGGCACACACCGAGTGTCCCCGCGTTCCCACAGAGCAAACCGGCAGTGGGCCTAAGGTTGGGCCTAAGGTTGGGCTTGGGCAGGCACACCACCCCAGGCTGGGGGCTCCTCCCACTGTGCCCGGCCCGCAGGCTGCCCCCTGCAGCCCTGAGGGACAGCTTCCCCAGGAGGCCACCTCTGAGCGGAGCCGCCTGCATGCGATGTCACACCTGCCTTCCCTCCCAGGAACGGGGACAGCACGAGAGGCTGCGCTGCGTCTTCGCCCCGGAGGCCGCCTGCAGTGGCAGCACAAAGGATTGAGGCCGCCTTTTATGTGGACGTGTCCTTTGAAAGGTGGAGAGAAAAGGACTCTCCCTTCCTTTGTCTCCTCAAAAGGTTCAGCAAGGACTGTGGGGGGAGGGCGAGGCTCACACAGGCCCAGCTGGGCACCGCGTTGCTGGGATCTTTTCTGAGCTGAAGTCCAATCCTGGGACCGAAAAACAAGGAAATAAACAATGGTGACACGGTCAGGTCGTGGAGACCGGCCAGGCCGAGCTCTCCTTTGAGATGGTGGTTGCTCACCTCTTGTGCTGCTTGAGACTGAGAAACAGCACAAAACTCAGGCTTCGTGGTTTAAATCGTTACAGTGGTGTATCTAAAATACACAAGGCTGGTGATTTCAAATCACATGAGTCCTCTCAGACATACGAATAGGAAACACCACACACAGGAGGCTGGGGCAGCAGCTCACACTCTGCAGGGGTTTATGTGTTAATCCTCACCCAAGGATATTTTTTTCTATTGACTTTTTTTTAAAGTAAAATTTTATTGATTTCAGAGAAAAAGGGAGAGGGAGAGAGAAACGTTACTGATGAGAGATTCAGGATCAGTTGCCTCCTGCATGCCCCCCACTGGAGATAGAGCCTGAAACCTCCACGTGTGCCCTGACCAGGAATCAAACCATGACTTCCTGGTTCATAGGTCAATGCTCAACCACCGACAGAGCCACACGGGCTGGGCTTCCATTGATTTTTAGAAAGTGTGAAGGGAGGGAGAGAGGAAGAGAGAGAGAAAGTGAAACAGCGATGTGAAAGACTCATTGCCACACGCCACAACCCGGGAGGAGGGGAGGAGGCGGGACCGGGCCCCTGCAGGACCACCTGCAGCCCAGGTGCGTGCCCCGACCAGAAAGGAAACCTGTGCACTTGAGCGGGCCGGCCAGGACAGCTACGGTCAGAGCACGTTCCCCGGAGCCACCTGCAACGGATCCGCAGCTCTGCGGAGGCAGCCACGTGTCTGCCACGTCTCTGCACACGTGCCCATGTGCACAGGAGGTGCTGGCGTCTGGGGCACTCAGGCTGCCCGCCCTCAGGAGCCACCTCGCCGTCCTCCCCTCCTCCAGAGCTGCTGTGGGGCCTCCAGGGCGGGGCGGGGTGGGGGGGTTAGCATTTGACACAGGAGATAGCGAGTCTCCCACAGACGGTGGCCTGGGGAGGGGGTAGCTCCTTCGGCACCCTGCGGCCACAGGAAACACTGCCGGGCTCCCCTCGGCGGGGCCTGGCCAGCAGGTACACGGGGCTCTCGGTGTGTGTCCTCACTGCCCTGTGTCCCTCTACCTGGGCTGCACGTGGGCGGAGACAGGCCTGGTTCAGCCAGGAAGGAAGGGTTGAAGGAGGAGGCCGGGGCTGAGGGCCATAGGTCCTGGCAGCTGGGGTCCCGGGGGTGCCCCAGAGCTGGGAGACGGGGAGCCGGCCGGCCTGGCACATGCCCAGGGCCTGGAGCCAGCAGAGCGTTGGCACAGAGCCGTCCATCTTGGGAAGCAGCCCACAGCCCACAGTCCCCACAGCCCACAGCCCAGTACAGCCCACAACCCACAGCCCACAGCCCAGCCCACAGCCCACAGCCCACAGCCCACAGCCCAGAGCCCAGTACAGCCCACAACCCACAGCCCACAGCCCAGCCCACAGCCCAGCCCACAGCCCACAGCCCACAGCCCAGAGCCCAGTACAGCCCACAACCCGCAGGCCACAGCCCGCAGCCCGCAGCCACAGCCACAGCCCACAGCCACAGCCACAGCCCACAGCCCAGCCCACAGCCACAGCCCACAGCCACAGCCCACAGCCACAGGCCACAGCCACAGCCACAGCCACAGCCACAGCCACAGCCCACAGCCACAGCCCACAGCCACAGCCCACAGCCACAGCCCACAGCCCGCAGCCACAGCCACAGCCACAGCCACAGCCCACAGCCACAGCCCGCAGCCACAGCCACAGCCACAGCCACAGCCACAGCCACAGCCACAGCCCACAGCCACAGCCCACAGCCACAGCCACAGCCCACAGCCACAGCCACAGCCACAGCCACAGCCACAGCCACAGCCACAGCCACAGCCCACAGCCCACAGCCCACAGCCACAGCCACAGGCCACAGCCACAGGCCACAGCCCGCAGCCCACAGCCACAGCCACAGCCACAGCCACAGCCACAGCCACAGCCACAGCCACAGCCCAGCCCACAGCCCGCAGCCACAGCCCACAGCCACAGGCCACAGCCACAGGCCACAGCCCACAGCCCACAGCCCACAGCCACAGCCCACAGCCACAGCCCACAGCCACAGCCACAGCCACAGCCCACAGCCCACAGCCACAGCCACAGCCACAGCCCAGCCCAGCCCACAGCCCACAGCCCAGCCCACAGCCCACAGCCCACAGCCCAGCCCACAGCCCAGCCCACAGCCACAGCCCAGCCCACAGCCCAGCCCACAGCCCAGCCCACAGCCCACAGCCACAGCCACAGCCACAGCCACAGCCCACAGCCACAGCCCACAGCCACAGCCCACAGCCCGCAGCCACAGCCACAGCCACAGCCCACAGCCCAGCCCACAGCCCACAGCCACAGCCACAGCCACAGCCACAGCCCACAGCCACAGCCCACAGCCACAGCCCACAGCCACAGCCCACAGCCCGCAGCCACAGCCACAGCCACAGCCCACAGCCCAGCCCACAGCCCAGCCCACAGCCACAGCCCACAGCCACAGCCACAGCCACAGCCCACAGCCCAGCCCACAGCCCACAGCCCAGCCCACAGCCCACAGCCACAGCCCACAGCCCAGCCCACAGCCCACAGCCACAGCCCACAGCCCACAGCCCACAGCCACAGCCCACAGCCACAGCCACAGCCACAGCCACAGCCACAGCCACAGCCACA